CTAACTCAACCTATGGATGGTTGTTTCTGGATCAACAGAACATGTTGTTTTGTTTCTGAGCTAACTGAGCCTATGGATGGTTGTTTCTGGATCAACAGAACATGTTGTTTTGTTTCTGAGCTAACTGAGCCTATGGATGGTTGTTTCTGGATCAACAGATTGTTGTTTTGTTTTTGAGCTAACTCAACCTATGGATGGTTGTTTCTGGATCAACAGAACATGTTGTTTTGTTTCTGAGCTAACTGAGCCTATGGATGGTTGTTTCTGGATCAATAGGACATATTGTTGTTTTCTTTCTGAGCTAACTGAGCCTATGGATGGTTGTTTCTGGATCAACAGAACATATTGTTGTTTTGTTTCTGAGCTAACTGAGCCTGTGGATGGTTGTTTCTGGATCAATAGAACATATTGTTGTTTTGTTTCTGAGCTAACTGAGCCTATGGATGGTTGTTTCTGGATCAACAGAACATATTGTTGTTTTGTTTCTGAGCTAACTGAACCTATGGATGGTTGTTTCGTATGGTTTTTTAGAACTGTTAACACTGGACAATTGAATTTACAATATTTTGAGAAGACTTACCACTGACAACGTCTCCAACTATTTTTTAATCTGTGAAACGCGACTCTGTGGTACATACTGTGGGCTATTTGATGACGTACATGTACAGAGAACAGCGTTACAGTCACGTAATAACTGACGAGCGTAGACACATTTTTACGAAACTTATCGTTAGAATACAAGTTCATAGTTTTTACGTCAGGTTTAGTAGTATTTATTATCCTTATGTGTATTTGTTTCCGTAAGGCATTATTCAACCACACTTGCTAGAATGTGTATTTGTTTCCATATGGCTGTGTTCAACCAGAAATACCAAAATGTGTATTTGTTTCCATAAGACAGTATTCAACCACAATTGCTAAGATGTGTATTTGTTTCCATAAGACAGTATTCAACAACATTTACTAAAATGTGTATTTGTTTTCATAAGACAGTATTCAACCACAATTGCTAAGATGTGTATTTGTTTCCATAAGACAGTATTCAACCACAATTGCTAAGATGTGTATTTGTTTCCATATGGCTGTGTTCAACCAGAAATACCAAAATGTGTATTTGTTTCCATAAGACAGTATTCAACCACAATTGCTAAGATGTGTATTTGTTTCCATAAGACAGTATTCAACAACATTTACTAAAATGTGTATTTGTTTCCATAAGACAGTATTCAACCACAATTGCTAAGATGTGTATTTGTTTCCATAAGACAGTATTCAACAACATTTACTAAAATGTGTATTTGTTTCCATAAGACAGTATTCAACCACAATTGCTAAGATGTGTATTTGTTTCCATAAGGTATTATTCAACAACATTTACTAAGATGTGTATTTGTTTCCATAAGACAGTATTCAACAACATTTACTAAAATGTGTATTTGTTTCCATAAGACAGTATTCAACCACAATTGCTAAGATGTGTATTTGTTTCCATAAGACAGTATTCAACAACATTTACTAAAATGTGTATTTGTTTCCATTAGACAGTATTCAACCACAATTACTAAGATGTGTATTTGTTTCCATAAGACAGTATTCAACCACAATTACTAAAATGTGTATTTGTTTCCATAAGGTATTATTCAACCACAATTACTAATATGTGTATTTGTTTCCATAAGGCAATATTCAACCACAATTACTAAAATTAGCTCATCCTGATAGTTTAGCGTAAATGATACATCAAGAAGCAAATGATGACTGAAATGAAATTCTTGCTATTGTTAACATCCATCAGTGTACAGTGACACACCAAACTCTTAGGAATATGTGATTATAGTCAAGGTAAACTAGTTAACCAACCACTGAGTCAGTATGCGGTACGTCCAAATAATACTAAATAAGAAATAAATAGTCAGCAACCTATTATGGATAATTATGAATAATTTTTTTCTCGCCCTATTTAAGTATGAGTAGATGTATATATATATATATATTTGTGTGGGGTGTATTAATTATTATGTATATATATATTTGTGTGGGGGTGTATTAATTATTATGTATATATATATTTGTGTGTGGGGGTGTATTAATTATTATGTATATATATATTTGTGTGTGGGGGTGTATTAATTATTATGTATATACATATTTGTGTGGGGGTGTATTAATTATTATGTATATAAATATATTTGTGTGTGGGTGTATTAATTATTATGTATATATATATATTTGTGTGGGGGGTGTATTAATTATTATGTATATGTTTTCCTTAATCAGGATTTCATCATTTGGGAATGAGCTGTGTTCACTGACAAAACGTTGTAAAGATGTATCGTGTTTCATCCAGAACACAGACGACTATACGGGATAATGCAGAGTAAGTAACCACACAGCAACAGGCCGCTATCGGGTTTCGGTCAACTATAAAGTTCTTCCGATATCTGAGGAGAAAAAAAATCGAAATGAGACGGGGTGTTGTCTCTTTAAACGGCAAGTGCTGATGTGCGCTGACCTACACGTGAACTCCACTGCGTGAGGCTCGAGCACTCGCTTCTTGTCCTTCCGGTTTGGCTCGTGCAGAGCACTGATTGTGTGCAGAGTCTCGTGTATGCGTATCTTGCTGATTTAAAAAAAGAAAAAAACTGGACGACTATTTCGAACTTATCATTTTGTCGGGACGATGCGGCGGCAGTGTGATGGAGAATATGTCGACGCGATGACGCCGACTGATTATTTATATTTGCCTCAAAATTATCATCAGTTGTTTCCAATAAAAAGTTTTCTTTATGCAGACGATAAACATCAGCTTTCTTTAAGATTGTTTTATAAATGTCAGACAAGGTGACATAACCATTGTTTGTTTGGGACTTTGACGGTAGCTTAATTTAGGGTTAATGGGATGTCTAAACTGTTCAGAACGAATTGATTATAATACTATACAATTTGAAAATTTCTGTCATGACAGAAACATATAACTTATTTTTTATTGTCTTCGCAGCTTTGTCACACAAGAAGGATATTCTAAAAGTGTATGAAAGAAAGCAGGAACTGATATATATATATATATATATATATATATATATATAT